CGTCGTCAGGCAGCGGTAATTCATGAGTGGGGTAGGATGGCACTGGATGGAAATCCTGTTGAAGACCCTCCTCTAAGTGGTGATGGATCTTGTTCTTTTTCTTTGAAGAGCGTTTCTTCCACGCACGTCTACTGTGCTTGGATTCACCCATTTCATGTAGGACGTCGGCGTCGTCTCCTGGCATCAGCAGGACATCTGTAGTGGTGGGTGTCCTTGGAGCCGGGTCAAACCTCTGTTCATGTTCCTCCTCTGGAAACCTCTCGTTCTTCTTCGCAGATGGATGTTTGCTCCACACAAACATCTTTTTTTGGATCTCATGTATCTCCTGCAGCTCACGGAGTGTGTTTTCAGACAGGTCCATGTCGTCTGCGTTAGAAGTTATCATCGGAAAACAGAGAGAACCCCTCCTTCCAGAATCATACACGTCACTGGTTTCGGTGTCGGGCAGAGTCGAGTCTTCTGTGGTTGAAGACGTTCGTGCTGGAAAAATGTCCTCTTTCTCGTCCTTTCCTAATGGTTGATGTTTCTTAGTCTTCCTCGCTGAAGAATGTTTTCTCACATGCTTTTTATGCTTTGCTCCACCCTTTTTGTGTATTCCCTCAGCCTTGTCTTTTGGCAGAGTTAAGGCGTCGGTCATTGAAGGATCACTGGCCGTCAGAAGACCGTCCTCTTCTAGAAGTCCAAGGGCCTTATTTTTTTTAAATTTTCCCCACGCAGACATTTTCTTTCTGGACTTGTCCTGCAGTTCTGGAGTTTGGACTTCAGTGACAGGGTCGATAACTGCTGGAGAGCAGGAAACCACGTTCAGATCTCCTTCCAGAAGGTGATGAGTCTTTTTTCTGACAGGAAAAGATTTCCTCCATGCAGACTTTGTCTTTTTCGCCTTGTCCTTTTCCTGCATTTCACCAAAGTCATCAAGCAGCGGAAGCTCCTCTGTGTTGGAGCAGGTCACTATAGGAGAGCAGATGTTTTGACTCCGGTCCTGTGGAGGAAGATGAACCTTGTGTTTCTTCTTCGAATGTTTCCTGCTCATAGAATGCTTCCTGGTTTTCAGCAGCTGTGATTTGGTGTCCCTGTCGTCGTGGTCCTCTGGACTTCTTGGTGTCCTTATTCTAATGAGTAAACTGTCCTGGCCATCTGGGGTCTCCTCACATATCTGATCCAGGTATGTAGGAGGACTCGTCCTGCTCTGGTCGGCTCTGGTAGAGAACCCAGAGGACGGTCTGGACTCAGCTCCAGGTGGAGAGATTCTGCACAGGATGAACTCATCCTCCGTTTGTGCCACGTCAGACGAAAGTCTGCTCAGAACGAACACTTCCTCGTCCATCAGAGACAAAGATGGAGAGATGCTGCGTCCTGCAGGTCCAATGTCTGACATGACTGAAGGCCTATAAACTATCTCAGCCACCAGGGGTCTCTGCGCTGTATCCGTTGTACTCCTCCTTGTATTTCTCTTCTGTAGATCTCTTCTGCGATCTCCATACTTCCTGTCCTTTCTTCTTATCTTTCTCAGGGTTTACTATGTTCTAACGTCAGTTGAGCCATTTAAAATTTGCCTTTGATGCCAGAGATTGCTTTAATTTTTAATTCTTTAATCAGAATGTGCACACGTTCTACTGCAGGAACTCACTTTGTGTTTAAACTTCAAAATCTACAAAACTGTTC